GTTTTGATATAGTGTGATAACGCTAGTGCGTAATAATTAGAGCAAAAAACACGAACGACAAGTTTACGGCTACTAAATGAAAGTCCACGCACGTGGGCACGCACAATATCATTTATAATACCTTACAGTGTGTCACGTTGTATATCTGTGTTTTTCTCGGGGGCGAAATTAGTCGGGAAGAAGGGGATTGGCGTTAGTTGAAACGGAGGAAGGTTTTTTCCACGAAAATTCAACCTTTCTTTCCGAAACGTATTTCTTTTGGAAAATGAAGAAAATCGACAGTTGTCGAAAAGTACGAAGTATATTCGCGAGTTTCAAGTGAAGCTTGAGAAATTTGCAAGTAAGAAGTTCGAGGTGAGAAAAACAAATTTTTTTTGACAAATTCGAAAATTACTTCTTTTACACAAATATTCGGAACTTTGAACTTTTTCTGTCCCGCGAATATGTATACATACGCCAATAGTGCGTCGTCTTTTTTTCTTCTGAGTTAACTTATGGCAATCTGACCAATTTCGTTTAGAAAATGAAGAAAACCGACGGTTACCAAAAATTTGAAATATATTCCCGAATTTCAAGTGAAGCTTGAGAAATCTGACTTACCAACTTTATAGCATTGCAAGTAAGAAGCTCAAAGTGCTAAAAAGGAAAAATTTTGTCAACGTCGAAAACTACTTCTTCCGCAAAAGTATTCAAAATTTTCGATTTTTTCTGTCCTTCGAATATGTATATCTATGTATACGTCGATAGCGCGTGGCCGAATGAAGGAATTGGACAGCAAGGGATACAACGGGAGGGACAGAGAAGCCGGTTGGAAGGAATGTCAGGATTCGTGGGTCGAACACTAGCGAGCAGCAAAATGAACTTTGCGGCGAGCTGTGCTGGCTGAATCAGCGGTGATGGCGTGATGAGAAAGGAAAATTCGTTTCTTTTCTTTCTTTCTTTCTTTTTTTCTTTTTCTCTTAGAGAGATTCTCCTTCTGCCGATTTCGGGGGGAAGAAGAAGAAGAAGAAGAAGAATAGAGGTACTGGAAGGAAGCTAGCTATCTCCTGGAAGTCGAAGTTACCTTCAGCGGCCGCCACCGGTGCCTCCTACTTCCAGAAGATGGCACTGGTGCTCCCGTCGTCCATCATGCACTCTGGAATACAGAACAGAAACAAAGAAATGCCATTGGGCCCAAAATACACCATTCGTTGTCGTCGTTGCCTATATGTATCCTTGCTACACTATTCGACATGCCCTCCCTGCAGCAGCTCAATCGCACATTTTCTTTAGCGTGACTGTACAGTGCAGCGTTATTCTTTTATCCCTTCTGAGCGATTGGATGAAAAAGTACATGACCTAACGGTTGAAGACAAAAAAAAAAATTAACACTTTTCAAGTATCGGTACGCAGTAGAAAGGTCACTGTTATGTTGGGAAAAAGAGACAATTAATTCATATTATCACAAGTTTCACGGATACGATCGATGTAGCATATTTATCGGTTACGCTGAAACGATGAGACACAGATGCGTTGTTAACACGTTGACCGCCATTTTGGTCACCTGTGGCCAAAGTGCCTTGAATGTTTAGAGTTATTCGAATAAAAGGAACATCGTCGACTAAAAATTTCGAATTCGTAGCTAACTAGCACGCACAATATCATTTATAATACCTTACAGTGTGTCACGTTGTATATCTGTGTTTTTCTCGGGGGCGAAATTAGTCGGGAAGAAGGGGATTGGCGTTAGTTGAAACGGAGGAAGGTTTTTTCCACGAAAATTCAACCTTTCTTTCCGAAACGTATTTCTTTTGGAAAATGAAGAAAATCGACAGTTGTCGAAAAGTACGAAGTATATTCGCGAGTTTCAAGTGAAGCTTGAGAAATTTGCAAGTAAGAAGTTCGAGGTGAGAAAAACAAATTTTTTTTGACAAATTCGAAAATTACTTCTTTTACACAAATATTCGGAACTTTGAACTTTTTCTGTCCCGCGAATATGTATACATACGCCAATAGTGCGTCGTCTTTTTTTCTTCTGAGTTAACTTATGGCAATCTGACCAATTTCGCTTAGAAAATGAAGAAAACCGACGGTTACCAAAAATTTGAAATATATTCCCGAATTTCAAGTGAAGCTTGAGAAATCTGACTTACCAACTTTATAGCATTGCAAGTAAGAAGCTCAAAGTGCTAAAAAGGAAAAATTTTGTCAACGTCGAAAACTACTTCTTCCGCAAAAGTATTCAAAATTTTCGATTTTTTCTGTCCTTCGAATATGTATATCTATGTATACGTCGATAGCGCGTGGCCGAATGAAGGAATTGGACAGCAAGGGATACAACGGGAGGGACAGAGAAGCCGGTTGGAAGGAATGTCAGGATTCGTGGGTCGAACACTAGCGAGCAGCAAAATGAACTTTGCGGCGAGCTGTGCTGGCTGAATCAGCGGTGATGGCGTGATGAGAAAGGAAAATTCGTTTCTTTTCTTTCTTTCTTTCTTTTTTTCTTTTTCTCTTAGAGAGATTCTCCTTCTGCCGATTTCGGGGGGAAGAAGAAGAAGAAGAAGAAGAATAGAGGTACTGGAAGGAAGCTAGCTATCTCCTGGAAGTCGAAGTTACCTTCAGCGGCCGCCACCGGTGCCTCCTACTTCCAGAAGATGGCACTGGTGCTCCCGTCGTCCATCATGCACTCTGGAATACAGAACAGAAACAAAGAAATGCCATTGGGCCCAAAATACACCATTCGTTGTCGTCGTTGCCTATATGTATCCTTGCTACACTATTCGACATGCCCTCCCTGCAGCAGCTCAATCGCACATTTTCTTTAGCGTGACTGTACAGTGCAGCGTTATTCTTTTATCCCTTCTGAGCGATTGGATGAAAAAGTACATGACCTAACGGTTGAAGACAAAAAAAAAAATTAACACTTTTCAAGTATCGGTACGCAGTAGAAAGGTCACTGTTATGTTGGGAAAAAGAGACAATTAATTCATATTATCACAAGTTTCACGGATACGATCGATGTAGCATATTTATCGGTTACGCTGAAACGATGAGACACAGATGCGTTGTTAACACGTTGACCGCCATTTTGGTCACCTGTGGCCAAAGTGCCTTGAATGTTTAGAGTTATTCGAATAAAAGGAACATCGTCGACTAAAAATTTCGAATTCGTAGCTAACTAGACAATATTTTGAATTTAAAAAAATATATATATAATATTATGCTTAGAATAATAAATATTTTCTTCTGGCCTCCTGAGAGTAACATATAAATCTGTCACAGTCAACGTGTTAACCCTTTGACAGTCTAATAAAAAAAAGAATTTACATTACACACGTGTTTTTTTAATAATTATTTGGGGTGCGATCATGTTTAAAACACGTCATAATTACGACAGTAATATCTCGTCCCTTTTAAACTTTCTTCCTAAGAGTCTCTCTTCAGTTGAACAGTTAAATATTTCACGCTTTGCCCGAATCTCACACGGGATAAACTGTCGAAGGGTTAAGATACATGTTTACAGGTCAGGATCCCAGGGAATTTTCGTACGACTCAAAAAAAAAAAAAAAAAAGAAAAACTGATACGACACAAATGGGTTTAAAGAGCGCAACGTTTAGCAAACAAGTTTTATTTATCAGATGAACCTCCGAAGGGAAAACTTGCCGCCTGGTACATTTACGAATCACGTTTACGACTGTGTGATAATCTTCGCATTAACCACAACTTTCAAACTTTCACCGTGTAAAGTTGCCAGGGAGAATTTCAATCGAGTGTAACAGTTTTATCGCGAAATTTTACATTCCACGGATAAACGCGGCGGCGGCGGAGGCAGTGGAGGCGGCAGATCGTACTTTCGATTCATCGCGTTTCCCCCCTGTTCCCCCTTCGCGTGAATGAACTTAATGACGCGTTCTTGCGAGGTTATGGAGATGCAAAATTGGCGAACCGAGTTAAAGGTTGTCGTCGCGGGCTCCTCTAGACGCGAGAGAGTTCATTCCGGCAGCTGGGCTGAACTCGCGCGCGTCTTACAGCCGGCCCAGGCTCCAGGGCACATTTAAGGATTTGTCTCGGGAAATTAGATTCTCCCCTGACTTGCACCAGCCTCGTTGCATCCCTGTTCTCCACGCACTCTTACCCCTTCGTCCATCCTCTCTCTGCCCTATCTCAAACCGAACCTCCTTCACTTTCTCACACAGTTCCTCCCTCCCTACCACCGCTGTTCCTTGACAGGGAATTCACCTTCCTTTAGCCCCGAGTACTTTTCATCGAGCGTTCGTTTCCATTGTCGCGCCAGGACACCGTGGGGACCGAGAATTGGACCTTTGTCGCTCCAACTAAGTGTTAACGTGCCCTTCGCGTTCCCGCCGCCGCCGACGACGTCGACACGAGTCTCCGAAGAAGTCGAGGAAGGAATTAACACTCGGAAAATTATCATCTCCCTGGACTGCGGGGACAAAGCGTGTACAGGGTGTCTCAGCCAACACCTGAGTATCTCCTTTGTTTTTCTGGATTGCGGACATTTTTCGAACACGGTTTCAAAACAGGAGTATCGCGAATAGAAAAATACTTTCTCTGGTTTTTCTCTTTAAACCCGATGCGAAACGAACACTCTACGGCACTATACAGAGTATCCCTAAAAATCTGGACATTGTATTTTATTGAAGAAAGGGACGTTCACTGTTGTATCTCGTTAACCCCTTCAAATTGAATAATACTACTGTTGCTACACGACAGCCTCCATAAAAGTAAGCAACTTTTGTAGAAAACAAATACAGTAGAAGTATTTCTGGTGATAAAGTTAGCTGAAACACCCTGTTTGTTATTTTGCACTCTGTATGAAATTGAACGATCAAAGTGATACTTGAGTGCTGCAGCAAACACACTGAGATCTTCGGTAACACTCGAAAGTGCTTTTTCAGTCGTTTTCTACCGAATGGATGTAAAAGTTACTCTTTCTTTCGCGTTTTCCAGGTTAGCTTCCCGCGGTAAACAGCATCTTTCATTTTCCCCTGGTCGAGCTCAAGCGAAATAAGACCGGGTCGTTCATCCAAGCCCCGGCAATTCAACGATTTCAGAATTTATCACTAATTAAAGCTACACAAGTTTTTACTGTACGATGATAAATTTCTGATTTTGAGGTTATCCGAGGTCCGCGTGGCGTGATATATCGTTAAACGTTGTTTTGACATTAGTTGCGACGCTGGAAAGTGAAAAATATGCGACGCTGTTAGAACAAATACCGGTCACCTTTAATTAACCTTGAAATTGATGGTGAAAACAGTGTGTTTGTATCATCGTACTTGTCCCCTCGAACGGTGCAACTTTTTTATTTGACATTTTCTCTCATGTTCGAACGTAACAGAAATATCTATACGTGCCGTTTCTCGTAACACACTCTGTATTTTTATGATAATACCTAATGAAGCGCAGGTTGCAATTTTTACCTACAATCGATCGATTTTCCGATATTTTCAAACTTTCGCTAGTTCCAAAGGTCCTCGAAAATGATGTGCGAAACCGTCTGATATATATCACGAAAACTTTATAGCGAGAGTTAAGCAATTCTCATCGAGGCGTTTATAATGCTTACATCAATACGTTTATTTTTAACCTTTGTTCCGAAACCTTCAACGACGTAACTTACGTTAAGTTCATGTGTGAAATTGTGTACGAGCTTTCTGAGAAAATCGTGGTTTGCAAAAAGTATAGAACTCGATTTTTGTGGGAAATTCGAAAATACGAAAGAATATGAAGAAAGCTCCATCCTGGCATTGATAAATTTCTAAAAAATATATTTTCTCCCAATTTTTGTGTCAATTATGAATATTCTAATGTTACAAAAATTCCACAACTAAATTGTATACGAGATTTCTAAGAAAACCTTGACTTGCAAAAAATATAAAACTGAATTTCCGTGAAAAATTCGAAAATACGAAAGAATATGAAGAAAGCTCCATCCTGGCATTGATAAATTTCTAAAAAATATATTTTCTCCCAATTTTTGTGTCAATTATGAATATTCTAATGTTACAAAAATTCCACAACTAAATTGTATACGAGATTTCTAAGAAAACCTTGACTTGCAAAAAATATAAAACTGAATTTCCGTGAAAAATTCAAAAATACGAAAGAATATGAGC